ACGGACACACACAGTGGGTGCGGGGCCCAAACTAATCCCCCCAACATCCCATAGGCAGCCCCTGCCCTCTGCTCCCCCATACCCTACAGATACCCCATAGCCACCCCACACCCATCCCATGCCTTATAGCCACCCCACATATAGCCCCTACCATATTCCCATCCCACACCCTATAGCCACCCCATATGCTCCCCATTCCCATCCCACACCCTATAGCCACCCCATATGCTCCCCAAACCCCATACCCACCCCACATACAGTCCATACCCATTCCCATGCCCCATATCCACCCCACATACAGCCCGTACCCCATACTCATCCCATACCCACCCCACATACAGCCCACACCCTATAGCCATCACTGTGCCCTATAGCCACCCAGTATCTATCCCATTCCTCCATCCATACCCACCCCATATACAGCCCATACCCTATAGCCATCACCATGCCCCATACCCACCCCATTCCCATCCTACACCCTATAGCCACCCCATATGCTCCCCAAACCCATCCCATGCTCTGTAGCCACCCCATACCTACCCCACATACATCCCAAACCCTATAGCCACCCCATATGCTCCCCAAACCCATCCCATGCTCTGTAGCCACCCCATACCTACCCCACATACATCCCAAACCCTATAGCCACCCCATATACATCAGATACCTCACACCCCACATGCACATCCTACACCCCACACCCACTCCATAACCCCTACACTGTTCCCCCCTCTCAGCCCCACCGCGGGCCCCTGGCCCCCACACCCCACCTTGCCCAGCTGGACCTGCTGCTTGTCGAGGAAGTGGTGCTGGAGGGTGCCGTGGGGCAGGGCGCCGTGGGGCAGGGCCTGGGGGCTCTGGGGCAGGGGGGATGACTGCGTGCGGCTGAGGGGCCGGTGGCGCGGCAGCTTGCCCACCGTCCGCACGCTCCCCCCACGCTCCCCTGTCACCAGTGGCGATTGCCCGTGCAGCGGCACTGCGGGAGAGGGGTACCATCAGTGGGGCACCCCCACCCCCCCCCAAAAATCCAGCTGGGGGGTGTGGGGGGGTGGTGTTTGCAAGCAAGGGAAACTGAGGCAGGGCCAAGGGAAACTGAGGGAGGGGAAAGTGAGGGAGGGAAAGGGGGAACTGACGCAGGGGACTCACCGGCGATGAGGGTGCTCTGCTGGCGCGCTTGCTCCAGCAGCAGGACGTGCTGCAGCAGGGACGCGGGGCCGGCAGGGGGGTCCCCTTCCAGGGCCACCCCCAGCAGGCAGCCCGGGATGGAGGAGGTGCTCAGGAACTTGCCAGTGAGCGCAGCCCCGGGGCGCAGGGTGGCCACTGCTGGCCGCTCGGCCTCCGCCTGCGGTGACAGCTTGGGGGACGCCTGCGGGGACAGAGGATGGCACTGTGTCATGTCCCCCCACGCCTAACCCCACCGCCCGAGACCTTGGCTGTGTTGGGGGGGGTGGGTGGGATGCCCCCACCCATCATCAGCCTTTGAGGTGCTGGGTGACATCCCCACCCCAACCCTGCACACCCCCCCCAGTCTGGGAGAACCCCAAACTGGGGACACTAGGGCGCTGCCAGTCCTCCCACCATCAGCCTTGGCTTCTCTGCTGTGGGGAAACTGAGGCACAAACCCCACCCTGGGGGGACGGGGGGGGGGTCAGACACCAAGGTTCCTGGCTTGGAGACCCCCACCCCTCCTGCCCAACAATCACCCCACAGACACAGGGTCCCCACGCAAGCCTGGGAGGTGCCAGGTCCCCAGGCTACCCCTATGGGACATCAGGTCCTTGTACTGCCACCCCACCAGGGAGTCCCCACATACCCCCTCTATAGGGTTCCAGGTCCCTGTGCCACCCCATGGGCTGCTGGTTCCCCACATCTTCCCTATAGGATTCCAGGCCGCTGTGCCACCCACCATGAGGTCCTCACGTCCCCACTATGGGATTCCAGGTCCCTCTACCACCCCACGGGGCTCACGGTTCCCATACTGACCCTTTGGGGTTCCAGGTCCTCATGCCGCCACCCTGTGGTGCCCCCACATCCCACCCCTATTGGGTTTCAGGCCTTTGTGCCATCCTCCGTGGGGTCCCCACATCCCCTGCCACGGGTTCCAGGTCCCCATGCCACCTTCCCATGGGGTCCCCCCATCTCCTCTATGGGATTCCAGGTCCCTGTGACACCCCATGGGGTCCCCGTGTCATCCCACGGTGTCCCCACGCCGACCCCACTCACGCTGAGGTGGGAGTTGGTGACGGTGACGGTGGCCTGCAGCCCTAGGGAGATGTTGGGCAGGGAGGGGGATGTGTAGAGGCTGAGCTGCCCTGCGCCGTCCAGCGTGAGGGCTCGGTGCTGGGGCAGGAGCTGCTGCGGGGGGAACACAGCACAGACACACCATCAACACGGGCACGTGTGTGCCAAGACATGCCGTGGGCATGCACGACACAGGGGCACACACCAGCTGTACACATCTGAACACACGTGTGCGCTGAACACTGCCTGCACACACCTGAACACACTTGTGGGCACTAAACGCTGCCTGCACACAACTGAACACGTGTGTGCCCTGAACACGCGTCCTGCACACACCTGAACATATGTGTGCGCCCTGAACACCCTGAGCATGCTAACAGCACACACTTGAATGCGTGTGTGTGCCCCGAACACACTCACAGCACACACCCAAACACACACGTGCACCCTAGACACAGAGCACACACCTTAACACACATATGCACCCTGAGCGTGCCAACAACACACGCCTGAGCACACGTGTGCACCCTGAGCACGCCAATAGCACACACCTAAACACACACACGCGCACCCTGGACAGCCTCACAGCACACACACGTGCACCCTGAGCAGGCCCCACACATGCGTGTGCCCCCATGGGCTCCTACCTCTGCATGGATGTTGGGGACGGAGCCGGTGAAGCCGTTCTCGGTGATGGCGCTGTGGGAGCTGTTGGGGGAGCTGGGCCCGGAGCCCGGGGCGCTGCTGCACACGGAGGACACTGCGGGGCCACTGCCGTCAGGGGGGACATGCCACCCCCACCGCGGCTCCCCCCAGGCCCCCCACCCCAGGGATGGGGCAGCCCGCGCCCGTGAACATCAACCGCACGTGAATGCACAGGCAGGCGTGTGAAAGTGCGCGTGTGTGCACAAGCATAGACTTACATGTTGTGCAAGCATGTATGTGCTCATGTTGCACAAGCGTGGATGTGCACAAGCACACGTGCATACACTACACAAGCACACCCGTGCACAAGCATGTGTGCACACGTTGCAGAAGCACGTTTGTGCATAAGCACACAAGTGCACACTTGTTACACAAGCACCTGTGTGCACATGTGCTACACAAGCCTCTATATGCACAGATGCATATGCACGTTGCACAAGGGCATATACGCACGTTGTACAACCATGTCTGTGCAAAAGCACACATGCACAAGCCCATATGTGCACAAGCATGTGTGTGTACTCGTGTTGCATGAGCCCATGTGTGCACACATGTGCACACGTTGCACAAGCACCTGTGTGCAGACATGTTGTACAAGGCTCTATGCAGAAATATGGGTGTACATGTTGCACGAGGATACATACATACATTGCACAAACATGTCTGTACACAAGCACATATGTACACACTGCACAAGTGTGTCTTTGCATGAACATGTATGTCCACAAACACGTGTATGCACATTAACAATCCCACATGTGCATAAACACCTGTACACATGTTGCACAACCATGTTTGTGCACACATACGTACACATTGCGCAAGCACATGTTGTGCAAGCATGTCTGTCCACACGCACATGTATGTATACTTTACACAATCCCACATGCGTACACATGTTGCACACGCCTCTGTGTGCACAAACACCTGCACACACATGTTGCATGAGCACATTTGTGCACAAACACCTATGCACACATTGCACAAGCACATCTTTGCACTAGCACATGTTGTGCATATATGTACACGTTACATGATCCCACGTGTGTACACATGTTGCACACGCCTCCATGTGCACAAACACCTATGTACATATTGCACAAGCATGTCTTTGCACAAGCACATGTTGCGCAAGCATGTACGTACACGTTACACAATCCCACATGTGTACACATGTTGCATGTGCTTCTGTGTGCACAAACACCTGTACACACGTTGCACAACCATGTTTGTGCACAAACACATATGTGCACATTGCACATCTTTGCACAAGCACGTGTTGTGCAAGCATGTATGTACACGTCACACAATCCCATGTGTACGCATGCTGCATGTGCCTCTGTGCACACAAACACCTGGGCACCGGGGGGGGTGGGTGGGGGACAGGGGGTGACGCGGGGATGTTGGGGTCTCACCGGTGACCTCGATGGCGCGTTTCTTGAAGGTGCTGATGACGGTGCCGTCCTTCCTCCGCAGCAGGGGGCTGCTCCTCCGCTCTGCCACCTTCT